TTACTGCACCTATCAAGTCAGCCATCTTGTACCAGAGAGCAACGTCACAAGATGTACGGCTCAATAACGCCTCCTAATCTAAGGCCGGCTTTCAACAGCCAGCAAGATTTACCGGCCACATATAATATGTTGTGGACGAACAATAGCCGAGATATTGATTTAAACTATGATATAGTGCGTACATCTTGATGTGCCGTACTGTACCGTAGTGGAAATCCTTGTTTTGACCGTTTTCCTGTTATTTAGTCAGTGATTTGTTAGCTTCGGTTTTAGCTTCGTGTGTTACTGCCTTTAGAGTTTGTGTAGTTAATTTTTGTTTTCCAAATTGAGTGTGAGTATGAAGCTCTTTGCTTTTTTATCATGATGAAGTAATCATGCAACCTGGTTCAAATCCTAGTTCGTGAAATGTATTGTAATTTCCTTTAAATTTAAAGTCAAAGAACATTGTCTGTAGAAGGCAGTCATGTTGTTAAAATGAATCCATTTTTAGCCACCACGTCAAAAATTTTAGGGCTCGTCAGATTAAACCATAAGACATAGACAATAATCTATGTCCTAACAATTAGACAATTGTCATCAACAATACGATGCGTCCTAATTGCTTGATATAATGAGATTAGTTTACTATGTACGATTAATAATTAATTAGACACATACTTACACGTCATCAAGTAATCGAGTCACGAAGCCTAAACCATGTTAATTGATTAATCTGCAATCATTGTGCCGTCAAGAATCAATTTGCCAAATGAGATGATATTGCCACTTATGTATAGTTATATGTATTCAGTTCTATGTAGATATCCCATTACGACCTTAATTAGGGCAAGTGAATTGATACGTACGATTTTATTGAGAGGAAAATGTTATTTGTGATTGGTATATTATATTAATAGTGAAGAAAGATATCTACTAACTATTTAACTGTATATTTTTTGCTGTTCGTAGTGATAACTAATGTATCTATATATATAAAAGAAAGAGGGGTTTGTTCCAACACTTATAACTCGAGATCGGCTAGACCAAATTTCATGGTTTTTGGTTCGTTGGATTTGTTCCCGCCCGGAATAACAGAATACATCTTCAAAATAATGAAAACTCGAAATGAATGTATTATGGGTAAGTATAATTCCAAAATTCGTAAAGGCATCTGGAGTTAATGAAATAAAAAGCTAAGCGAGATATCATGCATTTTCTATTGTATCTCATCTCATGTAGTGGTAGCTATAATAAAAAGGTTTATAATAAAACTATCGAAAAACTACACTTCTTTGCTACTCATATTAAAATAAAATTAATTACAACTTCAGACTACATTTTCATAAACATAAAAATACATTTAGAATTAAAAATACCTCCAAAAAAAGAAAAATACACGTAAAAATATCCACAACGCTATCCATACCCATTCACCAACGCTTTAACACAGAAAAGCAATTCAATTAAACGAAAAGGTAATTCGAATACACGATGAATACGAACAGTCTATTAAAATAACTAATCCGGCCATTTCAGTTACATAGTCAGCCAGGTAATTGGAATCCATGAACGGTGCACCATTTCTCGTATGAACCGTCAATAGAAAAATACAAAGGCCTGAGTACAATAGGGCTATTCACTGGCCTTAAACGGTCGCGGACCAAATGGAAATTTCAGTGTTCACGAAACTCAAAACTATCCCGATAGCTGATGGTACTTAGTTTCTTTTCTGTTCTATACAAGAGCATAAAGCTATTTTTGGAGCTATGGACTTTAAGAGGTAATGTGAGGTCTTTATGCCAACTTTACAACTAAATTGGAGGTTTTTAATTCGCCTTATACACCCTTGAACACACTTGCCTGAAGTAGATTTGCTAATCAATAAAACCATTTACAGTTCCATACTTATAAATTCCAGAATTGATAAAATGTTTATGTATTGGTAATGTAATCAACGTTTTTTTATGGGGGGAAAATCATCAAATGTCTGCCCCCGTCTGGGTGAGGCGGGAGGGAGTGTCAGACTCTTACTGACTAAAAACCACCCCGTTCCTTCTTCTGCACTTCGAGTCGGAGCCCCGGTAACCCGTTAGGTTTTCCGCGACTCCGAAGTAATCAACGTTTAGGTACTCTTTTGGTTTAGTTAGATATCTAAACAGAAGATAAATAAAGTCTGAGTTCACACTACAAGAGTGGCCTCACTCAGCCGATTGCGTGTAGGCGTTAGTAATTCACAATGAACATCACTGTCAGTTCCCCGTATAATCCCCAACTCGCTTCTTACGACAGCCAAGATGAAGTACCAGGGTAACATAACTACGAAGTGAGTGACTGCACAAAGCGACTCCAACTCGTAACGTACCCCTTGACTCCATAAATCCAGCTTGTTTCAACTACATGTCATTTCGTTTGCAGACATCTTGACCATTTATGTAGCCCTAGTACATTGGTAGTGTTGGCTTATGGTGGCATATGGAATAATTTAAATACGTCCTATAAACATGTTTACTTGGGAACATTTCAGTACCGAGAAATGCTATCACTTAACCCCAATCACGTGTGACGTGTAATAAGTGAGTCTATTGTATCCATGATCCATTTAGTAAATTTATATACACGACAGTCTTCTCTTAACATCTTTAATAGTACCATCTTGTTATTTTATTCGGACTGCCTCGTTGGCCGAGTGGTCGTAAGTGCAACTGCTAGGCAAGGGGTCTCGAGTTGTAATGATCGGGCAAAGTATTACTGGGTTTTACTGTATATGGCAACAGGCTCACCCATGAATCCCATTTAATATGTATATATGGGACTCATAACATAAATAGTCGGGCGTGATGTTATGCTATGTTTTGTTATTTAAAACAAATGATAAAAGTATATTTATGGAACTTAAACATTCATAATTCAGTGAGAATCTCTCATTCAATTTTTGTACATGTTTATCTCTATAATCCAGCGAGAATCTCTCATCATCATATCGTTGTGAATAAGACAGGAGTTACATTCGTAATGAATCATGTATTTGAGATAAGATAATAACTCGCACAATACGCCAGGAAACAACGCTCGGCCGCAGCTACATTAGGTAATAATAGAGAATCCTTCGGGCTACCTGTGGACTTGCACTTAGACTTAGAAATTTTATACAAGAGACTAATTTCTTTTTTTTTCTGAAACTGTCTGTCTGTTGTGGTCTTGCTTTGGGACAGATGTATTGCGATATTAATTTTCAAAATGCACTATTTACGTATTGAATCAAAATATTGTCTCAGTCTATAATACTAGCTGTTGCGCGCGACTTCTTCTGCGTAGCATATGAATTTTATAATATAATTTTTTTTGTTTCAATCTTCCAAAATAAAAGTAGCCTATGTTACCCCTTAATACATCAACTACCTGCCAATAAAAGTCTTGCAAAATCAGTCCAGTCATTCCAGAGATTAGCCAGTACAAACAGACACAAAATGTAATAAATGTTATTTTGGTATACGTACCATATGTATATTCGTATGCATGTAGTAAAAAGTGGTTATTTTAATATTCCAAACAGACACTTATTTAGATAGAAATTGTAGGTGACGTACGTATTAAATACCAACTATAAGATTACATATATTCTGATCCACAAATTAAACATATCCTATCTAAAACTTCGGAACTCTGTACTCGTGGTCGTAGGGTATCAGTGCAGTAATGAACCCCACGGTGCTACCATTTGTCGGAGTGTGAAATCCGTAATGTTTGCAAACAGGTACAAGTTGGTACTGTCAGGCAGGTTCACTTATTTTCTTCTTCCACCTGCACTCCTGCACTCATGTTTATGTAGATTGAAGATGAATTGAAAATTTGAACTGAGATAAATTGGAATTTTGATTGAAGTTATGACTATGTGGATTAGTTCTGATGACTGCAGTCAACTACGGTGGCCGGGCAACTGGCTGCCGCGCAACGTGTCGCGGGTTCGATTCACGCACGAAACAACTCTTTGTGTCATCCACAGATTGTTGTTCCAGATCTAGGTGTCTTGTGTCTTTCTTTCTTTCTATGTCGCACCCACGACACAGGAGAAAATTCTAGTGGGGGCAACGTTTAAAAATAATGATACTAGTGTGGGAGAGCCATGCTTCGGCTCGACCGGAGTGATACCACGGCCTCACAGAAAACCGACCTCAAGTAACGCTTGCGTTGTGTTTCGTCGTGTAAGTGAGGTTACCGGAGGCCCAATTTCCCCACTCCCCCTTCCCCAATCTCCCCAATTCCTAAATCCCCAACGATCCTTAAACTCCTAATCCCCAAAAAGGTAAGTTTATTTCTGTAGTATATTAGTGACGGTATGTCAATATTCCGTGATAATTGTATGTGAGGGTGTTTGAATAAAAGTCAGTGTTTAACCAACTTGCGTGCGTTTCATTACAATTTCTACATACAAGTTTAAAGAAAACACATAGCGCAGTTCTGTGTAGCTACTTTATTAATGCTGAGACTAGGTGTTGGTTTGGTAGTATCTACTACCAAACCCTCAATATTATAAATGCAAAAGTGCGTTTGTTTGTCCTCTCGTGGCAATGGAGCAATTGTATGGTATAAACATTTTCTTCATTGTCTGCCTCGTTGGCCAAATGGTCGCAAATGCGACTGCTGGGCAAGGGGTCTTGGGTTCGATTCCCGGGGCGGGCAAAGTATTACTGGGTTTTAAAAAAAACCTCAGTAGTAGCGCGGCGTCTGGAATTGTATCTAGTATATGGGAACATGCTCGCTCCATATTACATGGGACTCATAACATTAATTGTGAAAAGTGAGTGAATTGTGCCGTGGCATTGAGTGCCGTAATGTGCACATCCGCCTACCCCTTCAGGGATAATAGACGCGATGTTATGTTATGTAAATTTTTTGTATCTAGAGCTATGTCCAGAACAGGCTCTATAAATTTTAAAAACAAGCTTCTATAAGCCTGGAAGGTGATAGAGGCTGTTTTTTTCTTGTGAATCTTTCGAACATTATTAAATGTTCACTACTCTTTACTGTTTCGTACTGAGAACCGCAAACAAACTGTAGGCTGCTCTGAGAACCTGAAATGAACAACAAGAAGCAAAAATGTATTTAAGTAAAATAATGGTAATTACGCTTGTCAATTGTACGTATTATGTCACTATGCTCTTTATTGAAGGTAAATAGAGAACTAACCGAAACGTAAGTGTCAAGTGATAGAGGAACAATCCCAAAAACTATCGGTGTGATATTCTTAGACCAGCGCAGCATAGCGATGAGGATGTCGCGACGGAATCGAGGAGACACTGACAGCCAGCCGCTGAGGTACACCGATGTCGCTACAGAGTCACTCTGCAAATTAAATATTTTCCACATTTGTACCTTTTTTCTGTTTGAATTGCATCTTCTTGTTCCTTATTTTTTATGAGATATGCTGGTAAACGAGCAGACGGATCACCTGATGGTAAGGAATCGGCGTCGCTCATGGACACCTGGAACGCCAGAGGCGTTACAAGTACGTTACCGGCCCTTTGGGGATTAGGAGTTTGAGGATTGTCGGAGATTCTGGGTAATTGGACTTCCGGTAACCTCACTCACATGACGAAACAGAACGCAAGCATTGCTTCATGTCAGTTTTCTGTGAGGCCGTGGTTTTACTCCACAAGAAGCGGGCGTATTAAACCACAGGGCCACCACTACGGACGAATTCACACTTTACAGACAACGCACTCATTTTTTTTAACAGGTTTCATTTAATATATTTTCTAGTAAAATCTCAATAAAACTTACTTGAAATTGCACCATGTTGCCAAAATAGCAATAAACGAACACCCGTATCACCAACACAATAAGCATCACCGTGTAGAAAACGAACGCTATCGATACAATTGGAGTCTGAAATTGAAAACAATATGAACATTATGAACACAGTAAAAATCATATAAGTTAGTACGAAAGAACAAGATAGGAAATAGAACAATATTATTTATTATTATGAAGATCCAAGTTGCAATACTTAGATAAAATGGCGCTAAGTTTAGGAGTGTGACACACTGTGACGTCACACGATATTTCAAATTAATAACGTCGAAAGTATTTAATTTTGTGAGAAAAAAAATACGTGTTTAAAGTTTTAAATTAATATACGAGACGGACATTAAAATAAAATTTAGGAAACTGCCCTATTGTCTACAAGTTTTGTCTGTGAGTAAAGAATATAACGATAAACGTCATTATACATCTGAAAACATTTTTCTAGCCCTCCAGTTTTTGTTTGAAATTTAATGAGCCCGCGAGCGTATATAGTCTGGACAGCCCAGATGTAAAATATAGTCTGGACAGCCCAGATGTAAATCACTAATATACAGATAAATAAATTAAATCTTTAAGTATACGATGCTATGTTATACTTACGTAACTCATCACGAATGTGATCAAACAAAGCAAAGCAGAGGAACTGAACAATTCAAAAAATATCGCGTAGTTAAAAACGTCACTTATTTCATTTGTGTACCTAGAAAAAAAAACATAATGGTTTTGTGTAAACTTAATAGAACGGGTATGCATCGAACGTCTTTCAGGAAACTGGAGTACCACACCACCAGTGGCTAGTACTGATTGGGTACCAAGACCTATTGAGGAGTCCTTTGTCCAGTAGAAGACGAGAATTGGCTATGACTATTTTTACCGTCGTAAAAATAAGATATTGTTTTGGAATCATAGATTCTTTAATTTCATTCTCACCAGGCCACGGTTTCATATCTCTGAACGTAATGCACGAAGCGACCCCTAAGGTCTCTATCCAGCTCATCCCTATATGCAGTACATCGTCCATCTTCTGCCCCGTCCGTTGCACCGTTGGTATCGAACAAATGCTCTAAATTGTACTTGATGATCTTCAATTGGACTTCCGCCTGTGCATAATACGCTGCTACAAGGCAGTCGATTGCCAAGTGGCCGTATCCAATCCATACTATGGGTAGCACTTCCATCAGTACGGATAATGAGTAGCTGCAGACAAAATTAAATGATAGAGAATGGTAGACGACGTGATCTACGATAGATCATAGAAGTTATAAGTTTAAAGTTGTATCTTATACTAGCTTCTGCCCACGACTTAGCCCGCGTCCCCGTGGGATAAAAAGTAGCATATGTGTTATTCTAGACCAGATTATGGTCCCAATTTCAACTCGATCCCTTCAGCCGTTTTGACGTGATTGAATAACAAATACAAATTCACAATTATAAATCAGTAAGATTTCAATTCAAACTAACATTTTATATTTTTTTTACGGAAGTCAAGTGTTTCATTTTTTTTCACTGCTTTTCATTTTCTAACTTACCCAGTCCAAGAATGGGTTTCAAAAGGAGTATAAATATAAACTACTGCCGTTGGATTCTGATATCTCTTGGCAAAAAGAGATCCTGGCCAAAATACTCCAGCCAGCGCTACGGCGATCTTCACGTACTTTATAATGCGATGCATATTTCTGGTCGTTTCTAGAAGCATCTCTTCATCTTTCTTTGAATAAGCTGCAAATATGGGATCTGGAAATTGAAGATGTTTTATATTTTTTTCAAATTTACACATTAAATTTTGAATTGATGCCACTGTATTGGTTACAGTCAGTATAATCAGATTATGATACTTAATCTGTGGCACGACATTAGTAAGCCTTTATGTATTATAGCATTTTATATCTAAAATATCTTACAATTCAATAATTTATTGATTCTTTCAATTCTCGACGTATACACGTTTAATGTAATCATTTTCACCACTAAGGTCACCTGTAGAATTTCAATCGTTCCACTATCGAATACGTCCCGCCAATTATCACGACTTGCCTGTAATTGTAAAAAAACATTACTTTACAGCTTCCTTTAATATAATTCAAGTGGCCATTTTTTTTTTCTTACACAATGGAATCTCAATACAAATAGGCGGTAACGGGGAATAAGGTGTCATCCAATTATGGGGAGGGATGATTATCTGAGTGACTGGAAGTGAAGAGCTTAAGATCGAGCGTAATGGCATTCTAATAGAGAAGCCAAGTTTGATGATGACAATGATGATGCCGGTGCCAAAATCGAAGCTAAAACTATTATTCTGATATTTAAAAATAATGCATAAACTTTACCTGTACAATAAATATCAGATGGACCGCATTATATCCAAGAACCAACAGGAACACCAAAGGCCTGTAGATCTGATGAGATATCCAAAGACATATGTTCTTAGGTTTTTCCAAAAACCTATAGTATCCAACCCACACTAAGATGTTATAAACTTCAGAAAGGGATTCGAACGGCGTTATTGTTTGGTCAGACATTTTTTTGTATTACTGTAATTGTATGCTGCGATGGGCGAACAAAGGTAACTATGATAAAGAATGATCGTCAGTTGATCAATTTCCTCGATTGTATGGAATAATTTATTAATCAAACGTGTACTTTGACTTACATTTTCGTTTTAATTATGAGTGATAATTTATTAGTTAATAAGTAGGGGTCGCTTTTATCATACTCATTTATAATTTTAGTAAGGACTTTAATGACTTTAATGCATCATACCTATAATTATGTTAAAGGACCTTCACTACTTCCTTTTGTCAGTTTTTAATCCGTCGCAAGTAATCGCAACGTTCTAACGTCATGTAAGTGGTTCTTATTTTCTAGTGTCACTCTTTACCACGATAATTTAATTAACGAATATAATAATAAATTTATTTGTACTCAAGCACTTAATACATAACATAAACATCACGCCTTTTATCCCCGAAGGGGTAGGCAGAGGTGCAAATTATGGCACTGTACAATGTAACACCCACTTTTCTCCAGTTATGTTATGAGTCCCATGTAATAGGGGATGCGCTTATTGCCAATTTCCATATACCGGGCACAATTCCAAACACCGTGCTACTACTGAGAATTTTTTAAAAACCCAATAATACTTTGCCCGACCTGGGAATCGAACCCGAGACCCCTTACCCGGTTGCACTTGCGACCACTCGGTTGACGAGGCAGCACTTAATATAATATATCAACAATAAGTGTGGCTACAGTTTTTTCATAGGTAGGTATATGATTTTAGCTTCTACAGTCGAACTAGGCATTGACTGTATTTATGAAATGTTTTTTGTCATCGTTTGCACAAGGAATACGTTTATAACGAAATAAGAGGGTTCGAAGTTCTGTAATTGTATCTGTAAGTTTAAAGAAATAAAACGTTTTCACGTATGCAATTGCTTTATTTACTAGTCTAGGTGTTGGTGCTATAATATCGTTTTTAGTGCTATTGCTTATTATTATAATATTGGGTATTTGTCAAACGTGTCAAATTCGTAAATACATAAAAGTATCATGAATTATACATAAAATAATATTCAATGTTTCGTACTGAGAACCGCAAACAAGCTGTAGGCTGACTTGAGAACCTGAAAAAAATGACCGTAATTAATCTACTTAGTGTAAAATACTTAGCCTATTGTCATATACCGGATACATTTCCAGACTTCGTGCTATTACTAAGATTTTTTTTTAAAACCCAGTAGCACTTTGCTCGACCCGGGGATCCCTTTGCCCGGTAGTCGCACTTGCGACCACTCGGCCAACGAAGCAGTCTATGTGCAAGATAATGTTCATAAGATACCCAAATTTTAAAAAAGAAAATTTATTATAGTACACAACACAATGGTACATATTTCACACAGACTTTTGAGAAGAGACAATTTTTAACCGATTTCAATTTTTATCCGACCTCAGTGTGACCTTAACCGATTGTAATGGGCCTGCAGACGGCGAGCATGGGTGGCTCCCCGTCCGACCAGAAACAGACCCGAGCGTACGGCGCGTCGCGTTCCGCGCGCGCCTCAAAGAGCCATCAGACCACCACAGATGGGGCCAATGGGGCCGATGCCGATTCGGAGTCACGGAGAACCTAACGGGGACCGAGAAGGAACGGGTTGGTTTTTAGTCAGTAAGAGTCTGACACTCCCTCCCGCCTCACCCAGGCGGGAGCAGTCATTTGATGACTTCCCCCCCTTAAAAAAAACCGATTTTAATGCCGGTTTAGAAAAGTGTTTGTTACACTTAGGGAACGTTTTAGTAATAACTAGCGACCCGCCCTGGCTTCGCACGGGTGCAAAATGCATGCATTATACATATAAACCTTCCTTAAGAATCACTCTATCGATTAAAAAAACCGCATCAAAATCTGTTGCGTAGTTTTAAAGATCTAAGCATACATAGGGACAGACAGACGGCGGATAGCGACTTTGTTTTATACTATGTGGTGATTAACTGACTTCAAGATGGAGTTCAAGTCGTTTTTTTTAAAGTAGTTTATAAAATCATTATTATGTGTTGTGTTATGATGTTTTTTTTTTTTTTTTAAACCTTGCCCCACACTAGGATTTTCTCCTGTGTCGTGGGTGCGTTTACAAACATACAAGTTCACATACACAATTTGTACAACATGTTTTCTTTTCAATATTTTTATGACTGGAAAAAAGGACTCGAATGGACTCAAAATTTACGAATGGGTCGGCTCGACCGGAGTAAAACCACGACCTCACAAAAAACCAACTTGAAGCGACACTTAATGTGTGTTTCGTCGTGTGAGTGAGGTTACCGGAGGCCTAATTACCCCCTGTACCCAATCTACCAACAATCCTGAAACTCTTAATCCCCAAAAGGCCGGTAACGCAATTGTAACGCCTCTGGTGTTCCAGGTGACCCGTCTGGTCGTTTACCGTATTTTCCCATAAAAAACTCGATTATTTTTAGTAGCTTAGAATTAAAATCAAGGCGTTGTGCAATATTTATCGCTCGGTACTCTACTTGTATTTTACTTGTCTTTTCTTTCGAAAAGTGGGTATTATATTTCGGAAAATAAAAGGCATGAAGGCATAAGACGCAAGACTTCTATGTATTATAAACAATAACTAACCGAAACATAAGTGGCGAGTGACAAAGGAATGATCCCGGACACTCGAGGAGTGATATCCTTGGACCAGCGTAACATGGCGACGAGGAGGTCGCGACGGAATTGTGGAGACGCTGACAGCCAGTCACTGAGGTACACCGACGTCATTATGGAATCACTCTGCGAATGAAACACTGGGTTTGAAATTAAGGATGAAGAAGACCGGTCTTAAACAGTTTAGCCTACTACGCAGGGAATATTGTCCACTGTTAAGTGAACACCAAGAGATTTGAGCAGCAAAACAGCTGTACCCATTCTGGGTTCTTCAGGATTGTGGTATTTGATTGGATGATAATCCGACCGACTGGAAGTCAGACGCAGGACTAACGTATTTTCAGTCACATTAATACAACTCCATGTAGAACTGTAAGTGTATACAATAATTAAAAATATGACTACATATTTCTATATAAAAGTAACACAAGCTAACTTCATATTGCACCATGTTGCCAAAATAGCAGTAAAGGAACACTTGCATCAGCAGTACACCGAGCATCACCGTGAAGAACGCAAACGCCAACGAGAACATTGGAGTCTGAAATAGAGAATAACATTAAAAAAGTGGATACAGAAGTTTATCCCCTTCTTTAGGGGTTTGATAAAGCCAAACAAACAACAAACTTAAAAAATAGGAGAATTGGGACTATTAATCACGAGGATGTAAATAACTAAAGATAATTTTAATGTTATTCTACCGAATGCTGCGTAACATCCTACTTACGTAACTCATCTTGAATGTAACCATACACAGCACAGCAGAGGAGCTGAAGAATTCAAATCCCAGGGCGTGGTTAAATATATCACTCACTTCCTTAGTATACCTAGAAAATCAAATAAAAGATCCCAGTTTTTTGTAAACTTAAAATTTCCTTCCACATCCTATTATAGTTACTCTGAACGCTCTACTTGAGCTGCCCATCGTTCAAGTAAAGCGTACAGCTCCTATCTGTAACACACCTCAACTTCTTTACATCCACAAAATGGCCGACAGTGATTATGTACGAAGAGTTGAAGATCAAGTTAGTTGGTAAGCAATTAAAAAAGTCCAGGTGAAGACGTTAACGAATTGATAGTGATTTTTATAGTTAAAAAACAACAACATTTTTTGGAAAAAATATTACTATTGTCGTTCTCACCAGGCCACGGCTTCATATCTCTCAAAATAATGTACGAAACGGGTCCTAAGGTCTCGATCCAGCTCATCCATATAAAAAATACGTCCTCTGTAAAACGCCCCGTCCATTCCACCGTCGGCATCGAACAAATGCTCTAAATTATACTTGATGATCTTCAGCTGAACTTCTGCCTGTGCATAATACGTTGCTATGAGGCAGTCGATTGCCAAGTGGCCGCACCCAATCCATGGTAGTGGTAGGATTTCCATCATCACAGAGAAGAAATATCTGTGAAATCAGTTCACACAAATGAGTAACTTCCATTCTTAGTCTTCCATTTCATTCATTTTTTGATATAATAGGTTTATGCTGTATTCCAAAACACAATTTTTCTCCACTTATTTCACTAGTATGTACAAATAATTAGTACAGTTACTGATTCATAAGCAAGAAGCAAACAGGACAATAATTTTAGGTGTTCCTAGAAATTCTCCATAATCATTTTTTGCAACAGAAGTAGACGTAACATCTGAGTGCAGTACTTTAAATAACCAGATAAAAAATGGCGCTTTCAAATTCATCTGGAAACTGGTTAAATTTCCTAGAATTTTTTTTACCAATTTTCCAGCAAGAATGTACGCGATTCGTAACTTACCCAGTCCAAGAAACAGTATCAAAAGGAGTGTAAATGTATACTACTGCCGTTGGGTCTTGGTATCTCTTAGCTAACAGGGATGTCGACCAGAACGCTCCAGCCAGTACTATGCTGATCTTCATGTACTTGACAAGGCGGTGAGATGTCTTTATCGTCTCGAGAAGCATCTCTTCATCTTTCTTTGTTTTCGCTGCGAATATGGGATCTGGAAAGTTTACTGGGTCAGTTTGTTATTTGATGTTTGTTCAGTTTTATATTTGCGAATACTGTTTTTATTGCTGAGGCATTAAAGCTTTTTTTGGGTCGATAATGTTGATTATACTGCTATCTATAACTGTACCTACTATATGTCAACAATATTGCTTTTAAATTTATCAACTTGCCCAATTAATTGATTCTATAATATAATAAAAAATAAGTTACTAGAAACTGCTATACCATTCAATAAATTATTGATTCTATCGATTCTGGACATCTGCAAGTTTAAAGTCATCGCTTTAACAACCAAGTTGAACTGTGGAATTTCAATCATCGCACTATCGAATACGTCGTCCCAATTACTTCCCTGCAATTGGAAATTTACATTAATTTCTAGTTTAAAAATACAGATAGAGTGGGTGTGATCTTGGCTTGAAATGGGCCCATTTTTTATGGCATACGTCGGCAAGCGTGCAGGAGTTGGGAATTTGGGGATTTACTTATAAAATGTGAAAGATATTTGCAAAATACTAATGAGTTTCGAGGACAGGTTAGCCCACATGAAATCTAGCAATATCAAAAATAACTATCAGAACCCGCTATAGATACATCTCTCGTGAAAACATATTTGCTGATTGGCCTTAGGTGAGACGTAAGGGCCGAAGAGATGTCAGATTTTTACTGACTAAAAACTCACCCTGTTCCGAATCTAACCTATGGCGCGGCCATGGTATGTGGAGAACTGCCGTCTGGCTTGTTTAAATACTTACTTACTTACTTGTAAATATTACTCGTAATATTACAAGTTCAACTGCCAGGCGTTTTTGGTCGAGCAAAATATTACTGGGTTTTTAAAAAAATCTCTGTAGTAGCACGGAGTCTGGAATTTTGCCCGGCAATAGACTCACCCCCTATTACATAGGACTCATAACATAAATGTGGGTGTTACATAGTACAATGGCGGTATAGAAATAAAGGCGTTATGTTGCAAATATTACGCAAACTCTACCTGTGCAATAAATATCAGATGCACTGCATTAAACGCAACAGCCAGTAAGAACGCCAGGAGCCTGTAGATTTGATGACATATCCATAAGCACCTGTTCTTTGGTTTTTTCAACAACCTTAAGTATCCAGTCCACATTAAGACATTGTAAACTTCAGAAAAAGATTCGAACGGAGTTATTTTTTGTTCAGACATAATTGTATGGTCGTTTAATAGTGACTATGATTAAGCAATTGCCCTTGGCTGATCAATTCCCTCACTTTAATAGATAATGTAAGGAATAATTTATCAATCAAACGTGTACTTAGTCACTTTCATTTCGTTTTAATTATGAGCGATAATTTTAATTGTAGTTTGCTTTCCATTTGATAATTGCCGAGTCTCGATATAATTTAAGGGCAACCCTTACTTTCTATTTAACCCAAATTTAGAATAGAATTTTACTCTACACAAAAGACTACAGTCAGATATATTGTATAATTATACAGTATATTATATATACAGGCATTGAGAGTTCGGTAAGGTAGACTCACGATGCCAAAAGTTGCTGTTGCTGTAAACATTGTTTATGTACGTACCAATTCTGAAACGTGATTAAAACAATTTATAATACCTTTTGACTTACTAAGAATTTGGCAGAACTTATCAGAAATACTATTTTCGAATAGCCCACATAGGATGGCTCAGAAATACTATAGGGAATAGATATTCCCTAACCGAGATAGGTAGCCCAATTTCGTATAGATCAAAAGCGTGCTACAGCTTAAATGACTAAACACATGTATAGGTAGGTCTAGACAAGGTATAGGATCTAAGTATAGGCTAAGTACTAGAGACCGTCATGTACTTACAGTTACTTTTAATTAATGACTAAATGTTCTTCATTTGAGTTGTTCATCATACGACTTCAATTTTATCAACTTGCTAGATATATTATCGGCGAGTGACGTTCCCGTAATAATAAAACGCTACCATGTATAGTAAGCATTTATTTATCTATCTAATAAATAGGCCTTACAAGTTAACAATTAAGTTTACAGTTTATATGAACACATTAAAAGGGGGGCAGCCAAACTTGGAAATGGGGCCCAAAGTCTAACTTTTTTCGGAGTGCTTCTTCGAAAACGGCATCTCTGGATGCGTCGCGGGGCCCCGAAGTATCCTTGCCGAATTCCCGACTGACCTCCCTCGCCGCTCGCACGAACTTTGACACTTGAGCCACACTTTCTCTCACATCTTCTACTGGCAACTGTGAAATAAAAAAACATCTTTTAACCTCTTATATGCCGTATATAAGAACACAATAGAAAACGCATTCCGTCTCGCGTAGATATAGTGGTATCGGGGAGCGTAACCCGCGGGTTAAGTCAGTGAAAAACAGAGCAAAGATGAAGCTGATGTGGGATATCACAGGAATGGCATTTTCCCGGACTAGGACTAGTTCGTTTGGCATAGTCGAATAGTCAATGAGACTCAAACACGAATACGACAAAAATGTGGATGATGAAGATACTCTAAAGTTAAATCAGGTATATAACTGAGAAAATGTTCTGGTTGTTCTATTTAATTCTGGTATTACGAAACTATTTTTACTAGAACCGTCAACATAGACCGAAACCTTACCTCATCATTATTAGGCAAGGAATGGGGGTATATCCTGACCCAGTGGCCCACCCTGCCGATGGCCCTGTTCCAGCAGACGCCATTCCCCCACTTGCAAGCAGACATGACACGTCTGCGTGAAGCAGCCGTGGAGTACCCGCCACGCCACGACTCGTCCACAGGCTCCGTTGGGGGTGTGGGCCCACTTGATGAGGACTGTGAAGTTTATAGTTACTGTTAATTAAATGAGGTAATATCTAAGAGTGACTTCTGGTCGTTGCTCCTACAACGATTTTGATAATCGAGAATGACTCCCAAACCCATGCAATTTCATCCAATGTAGCATTATCCCAAAGGTCAATTGATGCAAGAACAGTATTTTTAACAATTCTAATTTTAATATAAAATTAAAGATAACATGATGATGAACATCAGCCCATCAATTATTTAAACAAACTAAATTATCATGAAACATAATTACTTTTGCCATTCCTCGACATCTTAATTAGACTATAAACGATTATTTAAATGTCTAAATAATGAACTTGAATCGGAACAATCAGAACCTTGCTAACAATTCAGTGACATTTTGTAAATAAACGGTGTAGTCACGGAAGACATTTTTCTACTCAAATCGAAGTTCTATTTTAGACCTTCGATCTTTCGCGACATAATTACGTATTCATCCTTGCTGTACCTACTTTGTCAAGGTTAGAGCCTTCGGCGAAATGGAGGGAGGGGGTGGAAGCGCAAGATTTTATAAAAACAAACAGCACGACATTCTCGAATTATGTTAATAGTATCGAATAGTTTTATATTGCGGAATTCATTTTTATTATTCGTTTGACATTGAATATAATGTTTTGATGAAACGATTTCTTTGTAATGTAAGTATCTAAACAGTAGGCAGACTATAACTATGAAAAGGAAATATTTATGTGACACAATAAAACTTAAATACTGCTAGGACAGGTCCTCCAACATAATGCCTAGAATAATAATGTAGGCACTGTTTTCTATTTGCATTTTTTTTTCGTATCATATCCGTATCCATTATAAAGGATTATTTAAATTAAATTTGCATGCCTTTACCCCGAATTCGAAGTTACCTGTACATCAGCATCACTGTTGGTATCCGTTTTGTACCGCGCTCCGTGTACCTCCTTGACTTTTTCCGCCGATTCCTGCATTTTTCGATTATTTAAAAAAAAGCCAATCCAATAGAATGAGTTGAAAAATTTGGAAAAATACAAAAATTGCTTTGCTACGTCACGTCATTGGGCACGCACACAGTTCATGATTATAAGTCCCAATTTAAATTTAAAATAGTCGAGCTGTGTCGAAAAGTTACATGGATAAAACAGAAACTACACTAATAAAGTTCTTTTCTAATGACTAAAAATATTTTTCACAATAGAAGCTAACCTGAATTCTCTCTTTCTCAGGTAACCCGTTGGATGGCGTGGGCGGTGGCATGTTGGTGGCGGCGCCGGGTCCCGCCAGCGTGACGCAGTGTAGCGGCAGCGCGCGACGGCGGCGCGGGCGGGCAGTGCGCCGCCCCGCCGAGCGGTTGCGCGCGCGACTACCGCCATTATTCTCCTCCTCCGAACTGCAACTACCATATGTACCAAACCACTTGCCTAAATTTTTTATGGACTGTTCTTTCTATTTTTACCGACTTCAAAAAAAGGAGGAAGTACTATGTTACAATGATTGTTTTTTTTATTAGGTATATTCTATATGCCTATATTGCTTTTGTGCAAAGAGAACAAGAACAATAAAGACATTAACCAAGATTTTAATGTTTTTTTTTCAGTCAATTAACCCCATGAATAAACCTAATAAACATGTTATAACATTAATCAATTAGTTTTTATTCAAACAAAACATCACCTGTTGGTGAGTTGAGTTGGAGGAGGAGGTGCCTTCAACTTGGCGAGTCCAGTATGCTTCATGGGTAACCCCAGGAGGTCGAACAGCTCATGCAGCATCGGTTGCTTCACCACCACGTCAGCCTCGCAGTCAGATGCTAACGCCGGGGAGAGGTTCACCTGAAAACACCAGTTTCAAATTTGTTTCTCTGTACCTATGGTTCTTTGCCCAAACTGCTATGTATACTTACCTCAAAAAGCATATATATAATAGTCTCAAAAAAATCTAAATAAAATATTCATCTCCAAGAAGAGAAGCCTAAGAAGACCTAGTCCGTGGAGAATTAATATATAACATTCAAATTAAATAAGGCTAAGAAGACACTAGTATGCTCACCTCCAGCAACCATGGCTTCAAGCAATCATCAAGTAGGACATCAAATCCGTAGAATTCGAAGCAATTCCTAGCTGGTGGAGTACCAGCCGCCTGGGCCAGCAGAGTCAGTGTCACCAGCGCCCTGATCCGCTGCCACACCACCCATTCCGCCGCCCCCCAACGTCCGATAAGGGCCTTTCGAACTTGCGTCAACGTCCATTTGCACCCTGCAATCATTCAAAGGAGATCCTAAGATATTTTGCTCACACATTTTATAGAAACGATTTCCATGATTCTAATTCTAAAACTGAATCGAGCTTTGGCTAAACAATATCGTTATCGTGACAAAAGAAAAATAGGGATATTGTGAAGCCTTAACTCGTGGTAGCGGTGAATGTTGAATCTCATAATAAGCAAAATATACAATAGTGCATTTTCTACCCAATGAAAGCTAGATCAAAATATTTACACACTTAAAA